GTCGGGGTAGTACACGACACACTGCGAGTGTGAAGCATTAGGTAGAAATCTATGATGAAATTAGGTACTTTTTGGTGTTATTTTTGAATAAGGCGTAGGTTGGACAGCTTTTTAATTTGTTGGGGAGTGAGTTCCATAGACTAGGTCACTTAATTTGCATAGAGTGTTTACACAGATTTAGTTTGAATCTGGGATATCAAAGATATATATATATTTCTAGTGGTGATAATGGGCTCTATTACATCTGTCTAAGGAGAGTTTCAGGTCAGGGTTTGCATTTAGGAACAAGGTTTTGAACATGTAGATGGAATAAGAGAATGTGTGGAGATTATGTTTAGCATGTTGAGGGATTTATACAGTGGGGCTGAGTGTTGTCTGAAAGCAGAGTTTGTTATTGTCCTGATAACAGATTTTTGCTGGGTGATGATGGGCTTGAGGTAGTTTCCAGTGGTTGAACCCCATGCACAGATACCATATGTAAGATAGGGGTAGATTAGCACGTAGTATAATGAGAGGAGACCAGAGTTTGGAACTTAATATCTGATTTTAGAAAAAATACTAACCGTTTTTCAGACTTTTTTGTGTTGTATGTGGGTGCTGAAGTTGAGTCTCTTCTCTAAGTGTAGGCTAAGGAACTTTCCATCCTTTATATTGCTGATGTTAACATTGTGTATCAGAAGCTGAATTGCATTTGTTGATTTGCTTCCAAATAAGATGTAGTAGATTTTTTCTATGTTTAGTGTGAGTTTGTTGGTTGACATCCATAAGTGGACTTTTTGTAATTCGTTCTTTACAACATTATTTAATATGAGTGGGTTGGGGTCTGAGTAGATGAGGGTAGCATCATCAGCAAACAATATAGGTTTAAGAATGTTAAGAGACACTAGGCAGATCATTGATGTATATAAGAAATAGGAGAGGTCCTAGGATGCTGCCCTGTGGCACCCCTACGGTTAATGGTAGAGTGGGAGAGGTTATGTCATTGATGGCTACACACTGGTGTCTGTCACTAAGATAGGATCGGATATAGTTCAGGACAAGGCCTCGGATTCCATAATGGTGGAGTTTAAGAGGTAGTTATGGTTAACAGAATCAAAAGCCTTTCTTAGGTTAATGAAGAGTCCAATTGGGAACTAATTTTTGTCAAGGGCTGTGTATATGATATCAAGCAGACTAATAATTGCATCGTTGGTAGTTTTTTTGAGAGCGGAAGCCAAACTGACAAACTTAGTATGTTGAATTTTACGAGATAGAAGTAGAGCTGTTTATAAATAATTTTTTCAAATATTTTTGATAGTATTGATAGATTTGATATTGGTCTGTAATTGCTTATGTCTGTTCTATCGCCTCCTTTATGAAAAGGCATTACTCGTGTTTTTTTTAAGGATATCAGGGAATATATGACACTAGAGATTTGTTGAATAGCAGAGCTATTTGCTACAAAGCTATTTTGGGTTATGATACTACTGTTTGGATGGTGTGGGTAATGCCCCTCCTCAGTTCTGAAGGCAACCCGTCTCCAAACCAAGTCCATTCTATCCAGCGGTCGACCCCAAAGACACATTCATCAATTTTAACATTCTGTTCATTCCAAATAGAACTTTTCTCAAATATGCATTAATATTATTATATATTAGTTTATTGTGCAAATTTAGGCACTGGTTAGGTTTGGTGTTTAGGTTCTGTTGGCGATTATTTGTATTTGTAGTACGTGGGTGAAGCATTTATAGCATTGTTGTTTGAACCAAAATCGTCAGTGAAGCACTTGTTCCGGAAGTGTTCGGACGTCATCAGTTGTGAGTCGTGTGTAAACAGTTTTTCATTCATAAACAGGAGGTTTGGCGGGTGCATGGAATGGACTTTGGCCTTTGTTTAGAGGACGGGCTGTATAAGCGACATTCATTTCACTATTAGGCTTCATGATTAACTCTTCATGGGTGCGCCGCGACGCATCCAACCCCATGATTGTCATCGCCCATAAATCAACATAATTCATTGTGTTGAGGGGACAAGAAGCCAGGGCATATTCATACACGCTTAAAGAGGGTAAAACGGAGAAGTTTGAATGGTTTCAAGTTATATTGTAAAGCAGTTCTCTCAATAATTCGTTTTAGTTGCCACAAATGTCCCTAGTGGCAACTAAGCCACTAGGGTGGAAGCACAGTACTATACCCACTCTGCCAGCACTAGCATATAAGTATTGTGCAGTCTCCGTGGTGTAGTGGTAAGACACTCGCCCGGCGTTCCGCGAGCGCTATGTCATGGGTTCGTATCCTGGCCGGGGAGGATTTACTGGGCGCAATTCCTTAACTGTAGCCTCTGTTTAACGCAACAGTAAAATGTGTACTTGGATGAAAAAACGATTCTTCGCGGCAGGGGATCGTATTCCAGGGACCATAGGATTAAGGACCTGCCCGAAACGCTACGCGTACTAGTGGCTGTACAAGAATGTAACAACTCTTGTATATATCAAAAAAAAAAAAAAAAAAAAAAAAAAAAAAAAAAAAAAAAAAAAAAAAAAAAAAAAAAAAAAGGAAAATTTTGAGGCCTAAATGCCCACTACACTTGTAGAGACATGAAAAGTGTCATTATAAGGGTCCCAGTATAATAATAATAATAATAATAATAATAATAATAATAATTTTTATTTAGGTAAGGTACATACATAAAGAGATTTACAAAGTTTGTTGGCTTTATAGATAGAGCTAGTACATACAATGCCTAAAGCCACTATTACGCAAAGCGTTTCGGGCAGAGAGCCCAAATAGGTTCGTTCTTGACTCTCAATCAGAAATTCCAGGTTTGAATCTAGGGTGGGACAGTATTGGTTGGGAACGATTTCTATCACCTAATACATCTGTTCACCTAGCAGAATATAGGTACCCCAGGAGTTAGTCAGTCTTGTTGTGGGGCTGCATCCTGGGAAGGACCTTGATTTAAGCCTAACATGTACTGTATGTATACAGTGGCTGCCTGTTCCCAGACACAATTAATTAAAATTATTATATACATTGGCTGCCTGTCCTCCAACACAATAAATTATTATTATAAATTTTATTGAAAGGACAAAATCTCTGTCAAACAACATGGCATCCTGGCGACGCAGACACCAGAGTGTTTACTAAAACACTTTAGATATTCCAAGACTCATACACCACTTTAACTTGTCATCTGTCAAACAACATGGCATCTTGGATTGTCAATGAGCAATCTGAGAGCAGCTGTACACCGAGAACTTCAACAAGATCTTGTAGATCTGAGGCAAAGTGAAATTGACACCAGTAATTCCATCTATCATCATACTATCATGCAAGAGGAGCCACACATCTATGGATCATCCAATAAAATCAGCAGACTTCTAGATGTTACTACTGCTCGGCTTAGACTCGGTTACAAGTATCTCTGGGAATTCTCATTATCTGCTGATGTAGACCTGACCAAATGTAAACTGTGTCAACAAAATTATTCGCACACCCTCCGTCACTATGTGATGGAGTGCGAAAAGATACGTGAATTTAGAGACAATTCTATAACCAATGTTCCAGCGATGTGTCAATATTTCATTCAAAATGATCTGCTACCAGAAATTTTAGCCAAATATCCCCAGTTTGCTAACTGTAGGTAGTAACTAAGTGATTGTAACCTATCCACCGCTGCCCACTGGATGGGGGGCGGTGTGCAGGACAAACATATAAATTTTGACACTAGCTCTCCACATATGTCAGTTGCTTAATTTAGAACCTGTACTTGAGGTCGATCTCGAACCCATTGTTGATGTGATGACTTATATTGAATTTTGTAACTAGCTCATCAAGATTGTAACTTGCTTAGCTAAATGAATTGTGGGGTTCAGTCCCTGAGCCCATTATGTGCCTCTGTAACCCTTTCGACTACCGCCCACAAGATGGGTATGGGGTGCATAATAAATGAACTAAACTAACTAACCTGGCGACGCAGACACCAGAGTGTTTACTAAAACACTTTAGATATTCCAAGACTCATACACCACTTTAACTTGTCATCTGTCAAACAACATGGCATCCTGGCGACGCAGACACCAGAGTGTTTACTAAAACACTTTAGATATTCCAAGACTCATACACCACTTTAACTTGTCAATGTGTTATCTATTGTATAAATAAAATATTATTATACAAATGCCATACCTAACTTAGTTTGAAAGCTTCAGATTATGGCACAATTGTGCTTAAAAGTTTCTGGACTATGTACTGTACACTGTAAACCAAGAAGTTTACCTCTTGGTAAATACAGTAAATTGCCTAATACCTGAACCTTATCTTATGCACTTTACAGAACATTAGTTATGAATTTTCCAGTTATTATGAATGTAAATAAAGCAATAAAACATTATATAAGTAGGTGTTTTGTGTATGATAGGTCTGCAGTTTCCTTAATTCTTATGTTCTTAAATGCTGTGCCTACTGTAAACAAGAGTGTAAGGATGGAGTATTGCTACTGGTAGAACACAATGTGAATAAAGTAATATAGTAATGTGCATTACACAAGTTCAATAGCCTACACACAGCTGTTTGACCTCTGTATACAATTATTACTAAATGCTGAAGCACTTCAATATTTTATTTCTTATTTACAGGTGACAATAAATGTAATCCGGTTTTGATCAAATTAAAAAAGGTATACTGTACTTAATCAACATATCCAAATGGCCCAAACAGTTTCCTGTATCAATGTAACCACTCAACATGTATCAGGAAATGTTTCCTGTATCAATGTAACCACTCAACATGTATCAGGAAATGTTTCCTGTATCAATGTAACCACTCAACATGTATCAGGAAATGTTTCCTGTATCAATGTAACCACTCAACATGTATCAGGAAATGTTTCCTGTATCAATGTAACCACTCAACATGTATCAGGAAATGTTTCCTGTATCAATGTAACCACTCAACATGTATCAGGAAATGTTTCCTGTATCAATGTAACCACTCAACATGTATCAGGAAATAAATACAAAATTTTATGTTCAAAATTATACAATTTATTGATGCTTCGAATAGGCTATGTAACAATTCGCCCATGAAATACACTTCAGGCATTAACCAATATTTTCTTTAATACCTGTATTGATGTATGTTGAATAAATTCAACTGGAACAGCAACCAGAGAAGAATTTATAAATTGGTTGATTTACCAGTAGTATCAATATATATATATATATATATATATATATATATAAAAAGACACTCAACTTATGTTAGTTCATGTGTACAATTCTAATTTACAAAAAAAAAAAAAAAAAAAAAAAAAAAAAATGAACTAGTTATACTTACTTTCAATGTTCTCTCTTCAACAGCCTAGCTTCAATCCTTATAATGCTTCTCTCAGTGAACATAAATTGTGTGGCATTTATATATATAATAATTTAACAATACTACATATTCATTACATGAGTTATCGTGCTTATCACAGCATACATGCCCTCTAATAGTGTTAAAAAAATACAATTCTAAAACCTTTGAATCAGTATTAATATGGGCTTCCAATAAATCTTGCATCAGTTTTAAGTAAACCTTGTCAAGACATACATGAAGTCACTGGGTCACTATACACTGTCAACCTTACTTGTTACTCAGTAATTATATTGACTTGTAAAGCCATTCTTCACACAGTGAGCAGCTCTCGTCCTGTAACTACTCCAAGGTAATTAAAATGACATAAAAGTCGAGATATCCTTACATGCATTACATTATGGTGTGTCTACAGTACATCCTGCACAGCAGCATGCATATATGAAAACTATATTAGAAATTTTAAAAAAATAAATACTATACCCACTAGTTTTAAAATCACAGAAACATGATATATGAAGAAACGCAGTATTTCACACTTTCTATTTTAATTAGTATAGTAAAGTTTTATGCAGATATTAAATGTCCCAGAACATACTGAATACAACAATTTGGTACTGTATATACATAAACTACCATAATCTGAATTCCCCTTCTTGTACATAATACTTAAAGTAAGCTGAGCTTAGAAGTTAGGGGTTTTTATACACACCAACAATGCAACATTACCATGTATACCATTCTCTACAAATCAATATTATGTATTACAAGAGATGGGGTGAGGAATATCTGCAGTCATGATAGCCTACTATTTCTTCATTTCATTACACAAACAAATGAAGATTCAACTGGGGTGATCCCAGGTGGGTTGTACACCTAATAATTACTTGTTCACTGTCCTGGCACATTCTAACATGATGACCCTCCTTACCCTTTTCTAAGGGCACTGGTGTGATCATTCTACCAAGTGAAATGTGTGAAATATAGAAATATTTTAGCCGTTATACCAAGTCAGTACTTCATCAGATATCATTTTAGATGTACTTTTACCAAAAGAATTACCAATGTACAGTAATATGATACACCCTAAACATTGTCTTTAAAATTTCCATCACTATCCTAGTAATACGAACTTGTATAGATTACATGTATCCACCATGCACTTCCTCAAGGTGAGTATAACACTCATTTTGTGTGTTAAAGACTGCCAAACAGGTCCAGCATAAGAATTTCTTACATCCTAAACATAACATTTTGTTACACCCATAAATCTTCTCAATGGGTGTAGAGCAGTTTGGACAAATTTTTCTGTTATTAATATCCTTCATCAACCATGCACCCAAACTATCACCTTCATTCACCTTCTTGTACATGATACAAGTGAGGCCATCATGATAATTAACATGACAACTTGAGCAAACTTTGACATTACATTCCGGGCAAAAGAATGGGACTCCACCTTCTCGTATCCTATACACAATGGGACAATCTGGAGTAGTGCAATAGTGGAAATCATTTTTGTGCTGAGCCACATATGAATTAAGAGAGGCATTCACAAGCTTAGCTAATGTAATGTGTCCCTGACGTGAGAGATTTACAAAGTCTCTCCACACAAACTTTGACGAGCATCCCTCATTTCCACACACTATAGGGAAGTCTTTGCTGGTGATGGCTGTATCTACTTGGAGTTTGATGCATTCCTTGCAATAAGCATGACCACAACATTCCAGCCTGAAGAGGTCCTTACTTTCAACTGGACAGAAGCAAGTTACACAGTCAGGGTCATCGTCACTTGAGGTAATCACTCCACTACCTGTCAGACTTGTCATAACTGCGTCCACTATATCAACTGCCTCATTAATGGCCTTATCTGATCCCATTAGTCTTACTCGATGGTTCCTAAGGTCTAGATTAACAGTCGTTAGCTTTGCTGTTGTCTGCATACCATATAAATCTGTTCCATATTTAAGCATAAGTGCTTTCATGACTCCTGGAGGCTTCCCAGTGCCTTTTAAATCAATATATTTTATAGTACCTTGAGAGAGTTGCTGTAGATATTCATCAACATCAGCCTTTGCATTCATTCTGCTTCTTAATGACCCATGGATGGAAAGTGCCATTACCCTATCATCAGTTACTATGAGAGCTCCTGTGTCATTCATGATAGTTTGAAGCCTTTTCCTACCCTCTCGTGTAAACAGTAATCTAACTTGATCATTGTTCTCACAGTCAATAATATCCCCCCTGATGATCACCTGAATACGTTTTCTAGCTTGAGCAAGGGCATTAATACTCTCAGTGTGGAATTCCACAGACACATTCTCACTCTTCAAATATTTCACTTTTATTTTTACTTCTTTACTTTCATTCTCAATATCTTTAATTTCTTCCTTTACTGCATCCCCACTTATCTTAAATATATCCTTACGAATGAATAAAGAACTGTGAATATCAACCTTCACTGAAACTCTTTCATTGCATATATAAAATTCCTTATTCATCTCATCACATGCAGTATATCCCACATCTAAATTGTTAAACATACAAAATGCTATGAAGTTAATATCCTTTTCTGATCGTGGCTCTCTTACCTCTAAGCTAAATGTACCAGGCTGCGCAAATTCTTCAATTTTTCGAAGAAGGGTCCTCTTGGCGATACTAAACCTTTCTTTATCCAGGCCCACATTTTCTCTAATCACATTAACTCTCACTATGCTTTTAACAGGATCAATATTCAGAGCGTCAGCAAATGCTTGACGTAAAACATCTTCTGTCACTAAATGGTTAAATTTTGTAACATGTATACTCTGAGGAGACTTCTTAGCAACATTTAGCATTGCTGTAGAACCTCCAACACTCAACACACGTAGTCTACAGGCTGCCATGAAATCTTCAACATTGGCAAACTCTACAAACCCAAACCCTCTAGAACGCCGTCTACACCACTGAATCTTTGTCCTTAACCCACAAATTCCATGTGCTGGGAGACGTACATTTGGACGTGCACACAATTCAGGTTCATCCTTTGTCCCATTGACAGCCTCGACAGCAGATTCAGTTTTCCCAAAAGTGATTTGTCCCCAAATAGTTGAGGATTTTTGCTTTCGGTAATATTTTTTACATTCTTTTATCTCTCCATACTGACCAAATTTTATTAATACATCTTCCTTTGACAGATCATCTATGGTTTCTAAAGAACAGAATATTTTTACTATTTTAAACTCTTCTGGCATGAAAACATTAACAATACTACCTCCAGCTCCAATGACAGTCCTTACAGATATATCCATTGACATGGAACCAATACGCTCTTCGCTTTCTTCCAATTGAAAATTTGCTCTGTGAGGAGCAAGAACCTGAGACAGACTATCAGCAAGACATTCCTTATTTTTCTCATTTGATAATACTTTCAACTCGCCCTTATCCCAATCAGCTTCAACTACAACAAACGAGTTTGGAAATTTTTCTGAGAGTGTTGTTTCAAGGTTCCTCATGTTAACATAGCGAGGGCCAACAAACTCCCTGAACATCTGGGGGCCAACATATTCTTGGCATGCTACAGTGATACGCTTTTTCTTGGCTTCTTCAATCTGCAAATGAAGCCAACCCTCTTCTATTCCTTTTAACACCAAGGATTCAGGGATTGGTGTAGTTTGCATTGCAAAATCTCTGGATGTTCTCATAACCTGATCAAATACAATCCACTCTGACTGACTCCCGAGTGATACTAAAGCTGAAGACGGATGAACCTCAACCCTCTGGTCTGTGGACACAATGCTGTACCCTGCCTTTGCATGTCCAAGATAATGACTCAAATTTCTATTCAAAGCCTTAAATAGAAGACCCACCAGCAAATTATCTAATTTTTCTGGTCTACCAAAGGAAAATTTAAGGTCAACTTTCATTTCTTTCTTTAGTGTATGCAACACTTCGTTAGTTGTTTCACGGACACTTTTTATTGCCTTTCCATTGATGGAATAACTGAAACACCATTTTCCCTTATCTTTTTCTGGTACCTTGTGCCATTCTCTAAACACAGATAACAGAGTAAGTTGATCACCACCTTCATGACAAAACCTAATTTTATGTCTGTCTGCTTTTTCTTTTTCTTCGTTACTTCCCGCTCTGTAAAATAGTGAGCTAGTTCCACTTGCTGCTGCTATAATAACTGCTTCCAGTCCAGCTCCAACTTGAACAGCTTCATAAACAAAAGCGCCATACTTTGGGTCAAACGGCATTTTAGCAATCCACTTTCCTCGATCAGTTATCTTTTCCTCTGACACTGCACCTATGTGCACTAGTGATGCAAATGCTTCTTCCATGGCAGGAATGGAAGGGGACATGATATAATCAAATTTCAAGGGATCCACACCCAGTTCCATTAGTTTTAGCATAGCATGACCAATATGAACTTTCATTATTTCAGGAAGTGAATCAACATTCATCTTTTTAAAATCATCTTCTGTATACAGCCTAAAACATTTTCCAGGACCTAGTCGTCCTGCACGACCCTGCCTTTGTTTAGCTGAACTCTGTGTCACCATGCTTACCGCAAGGGTACTCATCTTGCGAACTGGATCAAACTTCATTTCTTTCCCTAGGCCAGTATCTATAACATACTTAATTCCAGGAATAGTGACTGAAGTTTCTGCACAATTTGTGGCAAAGACAATTTTCCTCTTGCCTCCGGATACGGGGTCAAAGACCTTTTGTTGTTCATCCCCTTGTAACCGTCCATGTAATTGAAGAGTAACATAATTTAATGGTTTACCTTTCATTAAATCCCGAAAACGTTCACAGCACTTCTCAGTTTCTAATGGGGATGTCAAAAAGACCAATATGTCTCCTTCATCCTCCTTCTCATGAACTTCAATGGCCTTTACAACAGCTTCCTCTTGGTAATTACCAAAGGATTCAGCTCCCACTACTGGTTCCTTCCATTCTACTTCCACAGGGAACATTCTTCCTGACACAAAAAGAACAGGGCACTCTACAAAATACCTAACAAAGACTTCTGGATTAATGGTGGCTGAAGTGATTACAAGACGAAGATCCGGTCGATCTTTCAGACATTCTTTGATCATTCCAAGTAACAGATCAGTATAAATGCTCCGTTCATGAGCTTCATCTATAATGATGCAGGAAAATGCACTAAGCTTTCGATCTTGTAAACACTCATTCAGTAGGATGTGATCTGTCATATATAAAATTTTTGTTGAATTTGTTTTCTTTGTCTGCATTCCTACTTTGTAACCAACAACCTGACCAACTGCTGTTCCTAGTTCTTTAGCAACATGTACGGCCAAGCTAGTTGCAGCAATCTTACGAGGTTGCGTGCACGCAATTATTCCATTACTGGCTAAGCCTCCTTGAAAAAAATATTGTGCAATTTGGGTGCTCTTTCCTGATCCTGTTTCACCAATTATAACTGATACTTGATTGTTTTTGACGATTTCAAGAATATCTGAGCGTCTTGCATAAATAGGAAAAGCATTCGAAAGTCTATTACATTCAATTGCTAAATTGAGTCTAGTTTCTTTAGCAATTTTCTCAAAATTTAAAGATTCCTTTGCTTTAGTAAGTTCACGTACGGCATATTCTACTTGCTTAAGAAATTCCTCTCTTTGTAGTTCTAGTTCTTTAGCCTTATCCTCCAAGGCACATCCTTCAATGCGTTGTGCTTTAAATTGTTCAAAAGACATAAACTTGGATTTTACACTCTGTATCTTTTCTAGGCGAGACTTAACATCTGATAACTTATCATAATGCTCTGCAAGAGCAGACTCTGATTTCCATGTAATTTGCTGCATGTTTTGCTCAAAAGATATCTCAATATCACGTTGCTTTTTCATTACAAGTCCTCTTACTTCTTGTAAGGTATCAAAGCAAAGAATTTTTGTTTGAGAATAATGGTTTCCTTTTGCAAGTTCTGCTTTTAAGTGTTCTGCTGAACGCTTACTCTTGCACTGCAACGTTACAATGGTGTTCTTTGTGTCCTGCTCAATGGTTTTGTTTATCATAGTAAACTCTAGTCCTGGAGGCAACCGATTTTTAATATACTCTAATATATCTATATTTCCTTCTATTGCTTCAGCAAATTTCACATATAGCTCTGTAGTTTTGCTATGCACACGATTGGGTCTACAATTTTCTTTCTTAGATCTACCTACCATTCCAATGAAATTAATATTTTTATCTTTAGATGTGTCATTAGCTGACATACTCAAAATACGACCCCTCTCCTGAGATGACATTAATGACCTCTGCTCTCCTTGTCTAGCCAACACGCTTGAATTTTGCGATCTTTCTCTGGATAACGCATGTGATCCATGCAAGCATTCACTAGTTGACACAAGTGGACTTTGTGCACTTTCTTTGGGAAAAATACTTTGATTCTGAACATTTTTACTTTTACTTGTTATCTGATTCTGTGGTCTTTCATCTCTAAACAGGTTTGGATTCTGTGATCTATCATCCATAAACATGTTTGGATTCTGTGGTCTATCATCCCTAAACATGTTTGGATTCTGTGGTCTATCATCCCTAAACATGTTTGGATTCTGTGGTCTATCATCCCTAAACATGTTTGGATTCTGTGGTCTATCATCCCTAAACATGTTTGGATTCTGTGGTCTATCATCCCTAAACATGTTTGGATTCTGTGGTCTATCATCCCTAAACATGTTTGGATTCTGTGGTCTATCATCCCTAAACATGTTTGGATTCTGTGGTCTTTCATCCCTAAACATGTTTGGATTCTGTGGTCTTTCATCCCTAAACATGTTTGGATTCTGTGGTCTTTCATCCCTAAGCATGTTTGGATTCTGTGGTCCTTCATCCCTTAACAGGTTTGGATTCTGTGGTCTTTGATCCCTTAACAGGTTTGGATTCTGTGGTCTTTGATCCCTTAACAGGTTTGGATTCTGTGGTCTTTGATCCCTTAACAGGTTTGGATTCTGTGGTCTTTCATTCCTACATAGGTTTCGATTCTGTAGTCTTTCATTCCTACACAGGTTTGGATTCTGTGGTCTATCATCCCTAAACATGTTTGGATTCTGTGGTCTATCATCCCTAAACATGTTTGGATTCTGTGGTCTATCATCCCTAAACATGTTTGGATTCTGTGGTCTATCATCCCTAAACATGTTTGGATTCTGTGGTCTATCATTCCTAAACATGTTTGGGTTCTGTGGTCTATCATCCCTAAACATGTTTGGATTCTGTGGTCTATCATCCCTAAACATGTTTGGATTCTGTGGTCTATCATCCCTAAACATGTTTGGATTCTGTGGTCTATCATCCCTAAACAGGTTTGGATTCTGTGGTCTTTCATTCCTACACAGGTTTCGATTCTGTGGTCTTTCATTCCTACACAGGTTTGGATTCTGTGGTCTTTCATCCCTTAACAGGTTTAGATTCTGTGGTCTTTCATTCCTACGCAGGTTTGGATTCTGTGGTCTTTCATTCCTACGCAGGTTTGGATTCTGTGGTCTTTCATCCCTTAACAGACTCTGAGTCTGCGACTTTTCATCCTTACATAGCCCTTCATCTATTGAAAATCTGGTTGCAAGACTTTCTCTAGAAAATTTTGCCTTATGGAAGGAATCAAAATCTGACTGTCTTTTAAAAGAAGAACCAATGCAATATTCTCTGTTATTAAAAATCATTGTTTCTCCATCATATTTTTCTCCAAGTACA